TTACTTATTTTTCGTGTGAGTAGAGTTTCGAGACTACCAGTAAATCAGTAATATGAGATGTATTTACACTATTTCTTTTAAGGCAGTGATTCCCAAACTGTGTGCCGTAGCGCCCCGGGGAGCCGCGGCCTCTTTATAGGGGCGCCGCGAAATATTGTAAAGGCTTCAATTTGAGAAAATGTGTAGTGATTTACAAGCTCATCCATCAAATTAATTATTAAATATTAATTTAATATTAATAAAGTAAAAAATAATGAAGATACACAAGTTTTATTTTTTTTATCTCTTCTTACGAATAGTCATACTTAGGGTAGGGTGCCATGGAAAAATTTTAATTTAAAAAGGGCGCCGCGACTAGGAAAGTTTGGGAACCATGGTTTTAAGGTGATGAATGACTGGTAGTAGTAGATCTCATATTACTGATTTACTGGTAGTCTCAAAACTCTACTTACATACGAAAAATAAGTAACTTAATCAATTGTTATAGCAAAAATACGTTTGTTTTATCAACAATCCCATCAAAAAATGTGATATGGGAAAAAGCCTGGATTTACTTGAAATGTACATGTCCCGTGATCCAAGAGCTCTCGTAGCAATCTGGCTGAGTGGTTAATGTGCCAAGCTCACATCCTGCACTGTCACGGTTCGACTCCCGCTGGGGATGTTGAAAAGACCTAGGCAGTCCATCCTGGATGAGAACAACTTTCGGGAAACCAAGGCTATGTGAAATTAAATGGAAACGTCAGCTCTACTCATATCATTGTGGGAAAGTTATACTACCAGTCCTTCAAAACCTTAAACGAAATAGGGTGAATACATCTTTTATTACCTTTTCTCTTTGTTTTATTATACATTTGCTTTATTTCGTAAAGCATGGATTTTGCTCTGATTATGTCTGTCACGTTACAGGCTACCGCAAGTTCATCGGGGTTGCAGAACTTTGAGGCAAGGACATCTTTGCGCAATGCGCGCACCACGGTTTCCGGTGCAACCACATCACGAATTCCTTCTTGATTCGTTTTAATGAAAGCGATTAAAATGATGGTTGCTGCAGCACTTATTTAATTTAGCTATTAAAGGGATTATTAAGCAGTCCTAGTTTAGACCGTAGATATGAAGGCCAAGATGGTGGGTTCTCCTGTTTGGTCGCAATCTCCTTTAGTTTTATTATGTTGATTCGCCCTCTTTGCGCAATTTAGTCAGAGCGTCAGGGAGACCCTGTAGAACGTACCTAGTCCCGTGTCCCCTATCATAGTATTCGTGATTTCCAGCATCGGATCATTGACGTGGTACATTCCCAAACGTTTCGCCGGCATCTTTAGTGAAGCTGCCATAATCAGCACAGAGTTATAACTTATCAAATTGACAAGTGAAGGCAATCCCCTTGACCAATTTTCTTTCCAATGATTTAAGTCCTAGTTTCATACACTTCGAATTCCTCAATTTGTTAACATCGTATTCTAAATGGTCGGTACACAGAATATACTGAGTGTGGGAACTTATACCAAAGAATCTTCATTAGTGCATTTAAGTTCAAGTTTTAATGGTCCTCACGTCGGCATTCTTCTGAGAGGTTCTAGCTTATTTTATTTGTAGGATCCGCAGTGAATTTATAATTTTACAAATTTCCGAACTTAAATGGCTCGTTTTTCTATGAAGTAATGCTAAACTTTTTCTTCCCACTCATGCATATCACGATATACTTAAAAAATTGGAGATTTAACTTTATCCACCATTTTGAGCGAATTTTCAACGAGGATAGATTTCTTAACCATAAAATTTGCAAAAAACCGCAAATCCATTATTATTTTATGTTTACCCATCACTATAAGCTATGCCACCTTTTATATTACGGGAGGCTTGTGAGTCAAGCTAAATTTTATTTGATATTAATTTCTTCCCAGCCGTCTAATGCAGATAGACTCTGCCGACCACTTCTATGCCACCATGAGTGGCATCATGTCGGAGCTGGTTGAAGGCCGCATACTGCAAGCTGACGAGCTGATGTCCCAAGTTTACGATTTTGCTCCACTCCCGTATCCCAGAGTAAAGCAGCTACGCGACAAATTTACTTACAATATTACACCATTGGCTAATGCTACACCCCGTTCCCTCGAAACCTTAGTTGCTGGCGGACGAGCCATTAGATCTAGTCCTCCTCAAGGGATGCCTGGTGCAACTAAGCGAGGTCCCCTTGTGGCTGCACTTACCTTGAGAACTGGCTGTTCTAATAAGCCCTGCAATGCTAACATGGCTACTGGGATTGGAGTTAGCAATGTTGCTGGTGATGAGGTATTAACTGCTGGGCCAGAAGGGACCGATTCCTCAAATCACCTAAATACACCGGTTTCGGCGCTCTCTCAGTCAATGAAGCGGAAGGCCTGTTTGGCCGAGGCCCATGCTGTAAAGGGGGCTGATACGGATTTGGGTAAAGTAGATGGCCGGCTGCTCTTGTTTCGCGGCCTTACCGGGTCTGTCTGCCGAGGTGGTGCTAAACAAGTGGAGCACGACAAGGACAAGACTTTGGCTACAGAAACACCAGCCAACTCAGGTCGACGCCGGGGCTTCTTCCTCTGGCGAAATAATTGGACTAGACCGTCCAGTAAAGGAATAAAGGCTAATAAAGGAATAAATGATGCATCTGCAGATAGGTAAGTGCTGCCATAAGCTGAGGGTGAGCATTAAAATTATCCTCATTGTCTTCCATTGGGAACTTAATTTACTTTCACAATAATTCAGTTCCATTAAACCTAGTCTCCTGAACGTATTATTTCCACAGTCCTTAGTAAACTCTCATTGTGCCTTCTTAAGCAATGACAATTTGGATATATCATATGCTAACAAATAGATAATCCAACGCATTCCTTCTTGATTTGCCCTCCGGTTACTGCTATAATTAAATGTGATAATCTATGCGTCAGGCAGCTGAAGATGTCGAAAACGAGGGCATTTCTTTATTAAAATTCAACGCCTCCGAGTGTATTTAGTCTTCCTAAAATACCTAAAGAAAGAGTTTCATTTAGAATTGTTGTAAATAATTAGAGTGATTATTGCATAAAGTATCATGATTTATTTGTCACCAATT